TCCTTCCTTCCTTCCTTCCTTCCTTCCTTCCTTCCTTCCTTCCTTCCCTATTTCTAACAATGTCATGTTTACAATAAGATCCAAATTCCTCTGCCTTTCTTCCCTCTCATTCCATACCACTTTCTCTGTCATGCTCTAGGCTTCAGGCTCTCATTTCCCAGAATAAGTACAGATTGTTCTTCCCTTAACTTCCTCATCTGTCATTATCTCATTTTAAATGTTATCTTATAAGACATCCCTTTATACATGGTTTTCTTTGCTCTAAGTCAGGTTCTCCATTTCTTTTTTTAAGCTTTTAAACTTTTATTTGTTATATATACAATGTTCTGTCTGCATGTACACCTGCACACCAGAAGAGGGCACCAGATCTCACTATAGATGGTTGTGAGCCATCATGTGGGTGCTGGGAATTGAACTCAGGACCTCTGGAAGAACAGCCAGTGCTCTTAACCTCTGAGCCATCTCTCCAGCCCCCAGATTCTCCATTTCATCTCAGTGATTTCCTGTTCCATTCCCCAATCCTTTTATTTATTTATTTTTTATCTTTTAGTTCTGGAGGTTACTTCTATGTTGTCCAGTGTGATGAACATAGTAAAAAAAAATGTTTTTTAGACAGAAACCCCACTACACTCAAGGCTGCACCTGATAGCCGGAACCCAGGGACATAAATAACTCAAAATAACCCCACACAGGACTACATAGGCAAAAAATTCCATGACGCTTACTTGACATATGAGCAGAGAGCCAGAGCAGCAATGCTCAAAGAGAATCTTGAGTAGAAGAGTCTACTAAGTTATGTAAATCATGGGCCAGCACCCTCAAATCCTTTTCAGATCTGAATAATTTATTTATTATGTATACAGTATTCTGCCAGCATGTACACCTGTACACCTGCACACCAGAAGGGGGCACCAGATCTCTTCATAGATGGTTGTGAGCCACCATGTGGTTGCTGGGAATTGAACTCAGAGCCACCTTGTGGTTGCTGGGAATTGAACTCAGGACCTCTGGAAGAACAGCCAGTGCGCTTAACCTCTGAGCCATCTCTCCAGCCCCACTTTGAACAATTTAAACAGAGATAGGAGACTGCACCGCTTGGCAGATGGGAAATTTACACAGCAAAGTCCTCCTCAGGATTATCATCAAGTACACATCAAGTACAGTGCTATTCTTTCCAAAGAGTTGTTGCCCAGGCTCATTGTGGCCACCTGGCAGAACTACACTTCTGGGAAGAGACAGAGAGTTAATGGCAGGCCAGGCCTTAAAGATGGTTGTGGCCTGCAGTGACCTCTTGGGTTGCCTCCTAGAGGCATGCTCTTTAATGTGGGGATGGGCCTTATGGCTGGTTGTAAGTCAGGGTTGGCTCCTTCTGTTGTGGGCATGGAACCTGACTGGAGGTGAAGCTCAGTGAATAAACGTTAACAGAAACTTCCTCAGAGACCCTAAACTTCAATTATGGCACAACATTTTCCTCCTTACAGTTTGTGGCGAGCCTGGTTATATTCTACTTTTCTTCCAGTCGTATTGGAAGAATTCATTATTCTCCTTTTAGCTAAGTCCTACTTTGTGTAACTTCATTCTCCTAAGTGAGTTTATTGGTAAAGCTCCCTACTTCAAGTTTCTCCTGCATCACCAAGAGCTCTAATTCCCAAGACAATTTCCTTTCTTTTTAAAGACTGATTTACATTAGTCCAATAACATGTTGAGGGTTTTTTGTTGTCGTTCCAAAATGACTGAACAGGCCATTTTTTTCCTTTGTTCTGTACATTCTTATTTTGGGGGGTTCTCTTAAAAAGGCATGGAATAGGGCCCTATAAGAGAGCATAGGGCCTGTTTAGCAAGGCCATTTCATTCTTTCTTTTTTTTCTTCCTCCTACCCTGTGCTCTTCCCCTCATCGTCATCCTCTAGCTCACCCTCTCCCTAAAGGCTCCTGTCACCGCCTCCTTTCGGGCCCGGCTGCCCCAATCAAAGATGGCGCCGGCGCTTCAGCTCTAGCGGAAATGAGCTCACACGACACCGGAAAGGAAGGCGGGGAGGGCTAGCAGGCGGGTGGGTGACCGGCTGTGGGTGGGGCGGCGGCCGGGGCCCTGGCGTTTACGTTTAGAGCGAGGAAAGCTCCGGGGACCGGTCCGCTCGTGACTGAACTCCGCCGAGCATCGGGGCTGGGCGTCGGGGACGAGGCCGCCGCGAACCACTCACCTCCGGCCCAAGCTGAAGCGGCCTCGGAGCCCGCGTCCCGCCCGGCGGCTCCTGCGCCCGACCCTCGGCGGGCTGCGCGCGACCGCCCCGGCTCGGTTCGGGGCTGCGGCGGGAACCGCCGAGCTGGCTGGACGGGTCCTTTCTCCTGAGGACCCTGCCGAGGAGGAGAGGCAGCGCGGCCGGCCGCAGCTCAGGGCCGTGGTCGCCCGTCCTCGCCCGGCGTCCGCCTGTCGGAGGCTCGGCGACCTCGCCCGCGCCGCCCGGCTTGCTGCTCGGAGTGTGGCACCGAGCCCTCTGGCGGGGTGATCTGCCCTCCTCGTTCTCGCCCAGGCGAGAGGCATCCGCGTGAAGGGTGGCTGCGCTCTCTGAAAGTTTCTAGCCGGAGTGGAAATGCGTGTCCCCTTCCCCTGGACCACTGACGGTTTCCACGCGAGCCGCGGGCTGAGATCCCGTTCGGAGTGAAAGCAGGAGGGAGGGGAGGAGTACCCACAAAATCCCTCTCCCGCCGGTCCCTTCCGCCCTCCAAGGGCAGATGAACTTTGGAGTTAAGATGCAGGGAGGTGAGCCGGCAGCGGTCCTGAAAGTCTCGGAGAGCGAGGGGAAGCTGGAGGGCCTGGCCACTGCGGTGACCCCGAACAAGAACAGCAGCAACAGCAGCTGCGGGGCTGCCGTCAGCGGTGGCGGCGGCGGCGGCGGCGGCCGCGGCGGCAGCACGAAAGGCTGGCAGTACAGGTATGGTCCCCCAAAGTGATGTTCGGGGGTGCGTGTGCGTGTGTTGGGGTTCCGCATGTTGCAGTGGGAAGGCTGGCAATCTGACATGAAGCTGGAAACCCTCCTTTCATGAACAGGAGCCACTTTATCCAGAAATTCATTCAACAGGTTTTTTTCGTTGAGGCCTTTTGAGGAATTCAGAAGTGTACCACAGAATTTCCTCTTCTGCCCCCAAGGGTTTATTCTTCCTGTGATTTATTTCTGTACTCACTCCTGTTTTTTTTTTTTTTTTTTTTTTTTCCTTCCCTCTGTTGTAATTTGTTTACAAGTAAGCCTGAATGGCTGTTAGAGCAGAAACTGTTGAACTCAGTGCTTTCAGCGGCGAACGCTGGGTGCCCAAATCTTGTGGAATGATTGGAGTAACAAGAGTCAGAGAAGATCTTACCCTTTGTTTGGGTGCTTGTGACTTAGAAGAGGGGAGAGACGTGAAAGCTTAGGGTACAAAGGCCAACAAACAATGGTGTATAGAACCTGATCAGGCCACTTGAAAACTTACAAAATTCTACCTTTGTCAGTTTTCATTAATAGAAGTGAAACATTGAAGAAACAAGAGTTCCTGCAGGAACAAGAAAAGCTACATTTTGAGTTTTTTTTTAATACTCTTAAGTGTATGGAGAGATTACTATCCATGATTCTAAGAATGAACGAAATCAGAGCATCTTGTGATGTTGAAACTATAGTGATGAATTTTGGTTAACTGCCTTGTGTGCTTAACTTTAGCTTTTTTGTTTTGTTTTGTTTTTAATTGTTTTAAGCGCTTTGACTGCACTTGTGAAACTTGGATGGGGTTAGAACCGAGATTTTGTGAAAGATACATATCACGACTAGTCTTTATATATGTGAAATGTGGATATATTACAATATGCAAACATGGGCTGGGTGTGGTGGCACTCTCCTTTAATCCCTCCGCTCAGGGAGGCTGAGGCTGGAGGATCTCTGGGAGTTTGCGTCATGAATTCCAGCACAGCCAGGACTAAATAGAGTCCTGTATCACTCCCTGCCCCCTAAAAAAACCCTCTAATATGCAAATATATGCATATGTAAAATGCATGGCATGAATCTACAGAAATGAGAGGAGTAGGTAACTTTTTAATTGGCAAATGGGGATTGAACTAGACAGTATATTTTCTCCTCCTTTGTGAATTTTTTATTTTATGTGTGTGAGTGTTTGCCTGCATGTATGTATGTATGTATGTTTGCACGTGTGTGCTTTGGCTGTTGAGGCCAGAAGAGGGAGGTCATCAGATCTTCTGGAACTGGAGCTATAGACAGTTTGAGCTGCCACATGGGTGCTGGGAACCAAACCCAGGTCCTCTGGAGAGCAGCCAGTGTTCTTAACTACTGAGCCAACTCTCCAGCTCCTCTCCCTTTATGAATTAAGATGAAACATAAGAAAATTCTTTTTGTGGGGATATTTTGATATTATTCAAGGAAGTAGGGTAAAATTTGAGATAGCCAGAGGTCAGTTTTCTTACAGTCTTAATTCTGAATACCACCCTGAATTAAAGTGGAAAATTAAATAGACTAGAGTAAATACTAGGAGTTCAAAACCTATGATCGCCTTTTCTTGGCTTCTTCTTTCAGGCTTGGAGTCTAAAAATGTTTAAAACAAAATAACAATTATAAAAAGTGACCTAATCCTTTGCTCTGGAAAGCAATTTATACTGCTTCTCATTACCAAGTAACCCATGGCATTTGCTGTCCCTACCAGGGAACAATGAGTATTTTCACATCTTCATTCCACCTGAGTTCCTTGTAAGTATACATGCTTTTAGGACACTTTGACGACTTGGCTTGCCCCGACTGCACCTTCATCCCATTTTCTTGACTTCTTAGCAGCACTTTTTGTTTCCCTTCATGCCTTGTTCCTCTCTCAGTTGCACTGGTCAGTTGGCTTTCCCCTTAAGCTCTTGTGCTGTGGACTCTGTCTCCTTTCTGACCTCAGCTAAATGGCGTCTGAGTCAGGAAATCTTTCAGGAACTGTAGAGGTATTCAACTGTCTATCTGAACATTACAAATCTCATCAGTAGCTTTACTCTCTGCTATCTCCATTTTATTGGGTACACTGTGTGTGTGTGTGTGTGTGTGTGTGTGTGTGTGTGTGTGTGTTTTGAGACTGGATCTTATGTAGCCCAGGCTTGCCCTGAGTTTGCTGTATAGTTGAGGATGACACTGAACTCCTGATCCTCCTGTCTCCAAAGCACTGGGATTATGGGCAGATTTAAGATGTGAATTAACATTTTTAAGCTGTTAACATAGTTAAAACATTTTGGAGCCCGCAGTGGTGACTCACACCTTTAATCCTAGCACCTGGGAAGCAAAGTCATGTGGATCTGTGAGTTCAAGGCCAACCTGGTCTACAGAGTGAGTCCAGGATAGCCAGGGCTCTGTCACACAGAGAAACTGTCTTGAAAAACAAAAACAAACAAACCAGCAAACAAAAAACCCACAGAACCAAACAAACCATTTTGTTAGTTTTTTCTTTAAAAAAAAAAAAATAGGTAGAAGGATTACATATGTGAAATATTTGCCTTACATGCCTGTCCCAGCCACGCAGTTTCCCTCCCTGGAAAATTGTTTTATTCATTTCTTTTTTGTTTTGTTTTGTTTGAGACAAGGTTTCTCTGTGCAGCCCTGGCTGTCCTGGAACTCACTCTGTAGACCAGGCTGGCCTCAAACTCCCAGCAGTCTGCCTGCCTCTGCCTCCCAAGTGTTGCTTTTTTTTTTTTTAAACTTATGTGTATGTGCATGTCTTTGTAAGCCTGTTCTCATGTGTGTGTAGGTATGCTTGCCTGTGAGCACATGGAGCCCAGATAGGACTTTGGGTGCCTCAGAGCTGGAATTATAGATATTTGTGGGACACAAATATTTGTGGCTTGTTAATGGGATTGTGCATCAAACAATTTTAGCCACTTATCCATCTCCAGCCCCTGCTCCTTATTCTCCCCCCCCCCACCCCCTTAATTGAGACACGATCTTACTCTGTAACCCTGGATGACCTGAATTTGTTACTATACCAAGCGGGTCTCAAAGGCACAGAGAGCTGACTGCTTATCTGTCTCTCTATGGTACAGCCTGCCTCTCCAACCCTATTTCTGGTTTCTTTTTGTTGTTGCCTTGTTTTTTATTTGGTTTTTTGGGACAGAGTCGTTCTGTATAGCCCTGGATGTCCTGAACTAGTTCTGTAGACCAGGCTGGCCTCAACTCAAAGATCTGCTGCCTCTGCTCCCAAATGCTAGGACTTCAAGGTGTGCAGTCACAGTGCCAGATAAAGCTGTGTTAGTTAGTTAGTTAGTTAGTTAGTCAGTCAGTCAGTCAGTCAGTCAGTCAGTCAGTCAGTCAATGTATTTTGGAATTTTGTTTATTTATTTTTAGCAATATAGGGAGACAAATCTAGAGCCAACAATGTTTAGCTTTAGATTTTAAGAATGTATTGTCTTTATTTGTCTGTGTGTAGGTAGGCATGTGTCACAGTGGGCATGTGGAGGCTCAGCAGAGCCCTCAGGAGTCAGTTCTCACCTCCCACTGTGGGTTCCAGGGATTGAACTCAGTCACTAGGCTTGGCCTTTACCCACTGAGCTATCTCACTGGCCCCTTAGTGCACTTTTTATGGCAAAGAAAACGTGTGTGTGCGTGTGTTGGGTGCATGTGTACATGTGTGATGTATGTCAGTGTCCTCAGTTGTTTCCCGCCTTATTTTTGTCTTTAGTATTTGAAAATGTATCATTAGTCTGTGCATAAGATGTGTGTGTGAGTGTTTGTGTACATGGTGTCCGAGCGAAGGTCAGAGGGCAGCTTGTGGAAGTCAGTTCTCTCCTCCCACTAGTGGGCTGCAGAGATTGAACTCGAGTTACCAGGCTTGTGTGGCAGATGCTTTTACCTGCTGAGCTTTCTCACAAGCCTTCTCCACTGAACCTAGCCATCCTTCTCTCTCTGCCTTCCCCATGCTGGAATTACAGCTATACACTCCAGTGCCCAGCTTTTACATGGGTCCTGGGATCCAACTCAAGGCCTCATGCTTGCACCATCTCTCAGCACCTCCCCACCTCCTTTTTAAAAATGATGGTGGAGATGGCCATTGATCATCAGGCTGCCCTTGATCTCACTGTAGTTCAGGTTATTCTTGAATTTGCCATCCTCCTGTCTCAGCATCTCAAGTAGCTGGGGTTACAGACGTGAGCCACCATGTTGGCCATAATTCTTACTCTTATTTGTTTTTAATATGTAATTTTTAAAATGACTTTATTTTGAAATGTGGGTAACTGGCTTGGTGGTATACACTTTTAATCTCAGCATTCAGAAGGCAGAGGCCAGGTCTTTGTGAGTTTAAGGTCAGCCTGGTCTACAAGGTAAATGCCAGGACAGTCAGGACTACATAGTGAGACCCTATCTTAAAACAAACAAACAAACAAATAAAAACGAAGGAAAGAAAAAAAGAAATGTAGTGGAGACAAGTATTTTATTACTGTGTTGCAAATTACCCCTGCGTTCAGTGACTCAGTTTACTAAAACAGTACCTTTGTACCTTTGAGGGAAGTGGCAGGAGGACCAGGTCTCCTTGTTGCCCAGGCTGTTCCAGAAATCCAGAGCTTCCTGCCTCAGCCTTCTGAGTTGATTAAAGATGTGCTGCCACTACACCCAGCTAAAACAGCAATGTTTATTATTTCACAGTGTGTAGAAGTGGGTTGAGTATTTTGATGTAGCTAGTCGTGTCTTGGCGATGTTTTTTATGAAGCCGTGATCACCCAAAAGCTTGCATTTGAATAGAAAGGGTCTACTTTTTATGTCTTCCTTGGGACTCATGGCAACATTTAGTTCCTTTTGCCTTATTGGATAAAGTTCTCAGGCTAGTTTCTGGGCACATAGTCCTTTCCACAGAGTGTCCTATAGCTGGGCAGCTTATTTCATCAGAGGCAAGAATTGAGAGGCAGCAGCTCTAGCCAGACCTAAGCTCCCAATTA